TGGGACACGACTGGATCTTCTGGCGAGCTGAAGGGAAACTGCAAGAGACGAGTTGGTCTTAAGAAGGGAGCGGTTGTAACGGCCGGAGAACAGATGCTGCAAGAACAGCCTCCGAAGCAAAGGAACGGGGATGCACCGTTAGGCTATTCGGGACGAACAGCCTTAAGGAGGGAGCAGTGTGACATGTTGACCCCTACCTCCCCAGCTGCACGTAGCGGTAACATAGCGCTCGCGTAATAGGCGAGTAATCACCCCGCATCCTGGTAGCTATGCAACGCGCAACGCGCGGTGACGTCACGAGAGCCGAGCGGAGCCGAAGGTAGCCGAGCCCCCGCAACCTGGTAACTATGCAATGCGAGTCAACAGCGGTGACGTAATAGGATGACGTGGCACTCATTACGCAACAAGCAAGCACTGCAGCTATATAAGTGAGCTGCACAGCGGCTGCGGTTCAGTTATAAAGTAACAGTCGCCGAGTCGAGTTGTACTGTAACAGTCGCCGAGTCGAGTCATAAAGGTAGCCAGTCAGTGCGTTACCAACGAGTTCTCAGTTCGCAATTTACGAGCTACAGACGCGTGTGCGACAACCAGTGATAACCAGTTATATCTGGAGTGTGTAATTCAGGGAGACTTGTATAGCTCCCGCGTTATTAATACGTGAAGACTCTTGAAGATAGTGTTAAGAGATTTTGTTGTAGGGTTTGTAAAGTGTGGAAACCCGTAATATTGTGGTAATTAATTGTAGCCGTTAGTTGTAGATTGTTAAATAAACCAATTAACCATCACTACGGCGTCTTCTGTAACGAAACACGTTACAATATAATATCCAATAATAATTGGATTTATTGGCACTTCTTTGCAATTACAGTTAATTATTACAGCTCACAATCAATCTTGACCACCGAGGCTTCTCTTCATTCTGTTTCTCATTCTACGACTACTGCTAAAGACCTTTGTTGTTCCCTACAAACCTTCGGCGTGGACCACGCACAGAAAACATGTATCCTAGCAATTCCACTATTGTTATAGGTGTGTGTTTACAGTGCCGTTGCATAGAAACGGCAATTCTTCAATTGTTGCCTGCGTATTCGTTGTCGCAGGAATGTGTTTAGCGATCCTTTGCCTAGCAATGGATACACTTTACAATATGAAAGAAAGAAGAACCTCAGAGCACAGCTGTGATAGAACTGAAACAATTTTAAAACGCGGGACCTCTATTCTTCAAACGGAAGAAGTGACACTATACATACTTATTTTTTTAAATATGTATAATTTTAAATGAAGTCCAATAATCGGTGGGTGCATCGTTATAGGCAGAAAGTCATAAAGTTGAAGAAGCTCTAACTTCTAACAAACGGGCAAACACCAAAACAGCGTTATAAAAGCCAGGGCAACCCTTGCTAATCCCTGCAGTTTTAGGGAAAAGCACGTACACAGAACATGCGGCAAGTATATCAAAGAAGCAGCGTAGATGCGAGAAAAATAAAAAATCAATAATAAAATCTGTGATATAAGAACAACTGTGAGTACAAATTTACGTTTAATTTCTCAGAATACAACATTAATGTACATAAAAAATCACGGCATGTAATAAAGAATAAACAAGCATCATCGTATTTAATCAGCGCAGTGGCTGAGAATAAAATACAAGCATATGAAACACGGTAACTGGGATAAAATAAAACGAATAGAATTCAACAATTAATTCCTTACAAGTAAATGCTCGTGTCACACCTTTCACCTTGTGACGGCACACCGGTTGCGGAACACTGGACTAGACAACCAAGGAGTTAGGATTCAAGTCCCGGGAGGGTCAAGAATTTTCTCTTCTCCAAGTCGTCCAGACGGGCTGTGGGGTCCATCCAGCCTCCTATCGAATGGGTACTGGGGGCTTTTTCCCCAGGGGTAAAGCGGCCGGAGCGTGTATCTATACATTCACTCCCCCATTCATCTCCATGGCATAGTGCTTAGGTAGTTAAGCACAGGGACAACTTTATTTTTTTTAATGGCCTATGGTTTTCTGTAAATTTTCCCACTGTTATTTAAAATAGCAAATAGCTGGCTATAAATAAATGTATATATATACTTACTAACTCATGGAGCTAAGCCCTTATAGAGGAGCCGCCAATTCTGCAGCTACTCAAGAATTTTCCAGCATTTTATGGAACCTGAAGGTTCATCACCGTGTTCACAAGAGCCCTCCACTGGTCCCTATCCTGAGCCAGATCTATCCAATCAATACCATCCCATCCTATCTCTCTAAGATCCAATCTAATATTGTCCACCCAACTGCACAGCGAGAAGACAAAAGTTTCTGGACTGAATGGTGGCAAGCATTACCTGAGTTCAATCTCCACTTAATTTTCTCCTCAATTAGATTTTGATTTGTTATTATCATTTCCAAGTATCTGAACTGTGCCACATTTTCAAGACATCTGTCACCTAACTTTATGTCATGATTTTGCCCTGCATTCTGATGATGAGACAGCAACTTATACTTAGTTTTCTTTGTGTTTACTTCTAGACCAACTTCCTTACTAGCATCAATTAAAGTTTGTGTGTTTCTCTTTATGGTATCTATATTATCACCCAGTAGATTCATATCATCAGCACAGACCAACAGCTGATGTGTCCTCTTTAATTTCAGTCCAATCTGGTTTTCCAGGATCTTCCTAATGACATATTCTACAACAAAGTTGAAAAGCAGTGGCGATAAAGCATGTCATTGTTTTAGACCATTCATGGTAGAAAAAATTTCAGACAAATGTTTACCTGCACGGACTTTACTATGCGTTTCGTTTAAACACATTTTAATCAACCTATCTAGTTTCATTGGTATCCAAAACTCTATCAGAATATTGTACAATCTTCCCTCCTAACTGAATCATAGGCTTTCTTGAAGTCTATGAATAGCCGATGTACTGTCTCATTACACTCCCATTTTTTCTCCAATATCTGATGAATGCAAAAGATCTGATCTGTAGTTGATCTGTTGCGTTGAAACCCAAACTGATAATCCCCAATAATTTCATCTATATATGGACCTAACCTTGAAAGAAGAATGTTGGACAAAATTTTATATGAAGTTGATAGCAGTGATATCCCCCCAGTAATTACTACAGTCAGTTTTATCACCCTTCTTGTGAACTGGTACAATGACAGTCTCCTTCCACTGATCAGGCAATTTTTCTTATGCCAAAGAGATGTAATTAGATTGTGGATCTTAGAACATAATATTTCACCTCCTGCTTGAATAAGTTCTGCTGGAATTTGATCACTACCTGGCGATTTATACCGTTTCGATTTTGAAATAGCACTTTCAACCTCAAAAGGGCTAGGATCTGGTATTAATGGCTCAGCTGTATGGATTTCTGTCTGCCTAACAGCACTGACCCTATGTACATTCAATAACAGAGAAGTAGTTCCTCCACCTATTCAAAATGTTGTGGGAATCTGCAAGCAGATCACCATTCTGATCATTCACTAAGTTACTGCTAGGCTGGTAACCCCTCTTAAAGTCATTTATTTCTCTATACAGGTCTCTAATATTCTTGTTCTTACTGTTCATTGAAGCTCATCAATTTTGTCTTTCAGATATTCCCTCTTTTTGTTCCTGAAATGTCTTCTGGTTTCATGTCATATTGTTCATATTATCTCCATTTAACTCGCTTGCATCCTGTAACCATTGCAATTTGACCTGTTCTCTTTGATCTAATCATTTTGAGCATCCTTCATCGAACCATGGCTTATGCTCCTTCGGTTCATAATAACCTAGACTCTCTTTAGCAGACATTCTTATATTCTCTCTAATAGTTTCTCAAGCTTTATTAACTCAGTTTCCAAGTTTTCAAAAGCCACAAACCTATTTGAAATTTCAACATGATACTGCTCTTTACCCTTTACCTCATTTAAATTCTTGAGATTGAACCTCTCCATATGAACTCTGTGTGTTGTTTGTTTGCTCACTGCCAGTCTTTCCCTAACTTTTGCCACCACCAGGTAGTGATCAGTATCACAATCTGCTGCCCTGAATGATCGGACATGAAGTATACCCGAGTGCCATCTCCTGTCTATCAAAATATGGTCTATCTGATGGTGTACCTTCCCATCAGGAGATGTCCAAATAAATTTATGGACATTATGATGTGGGAACATTGTACTTTTGACGGTAAGATTTTTTATGTGGCAAAGTTTACAACTCTAACTACATTATCATTACTAATTTCATGCAAACTATCATTCCCTACTGTGGTTTAAAAATGTCTTCCTTAACTACTTTGGCCTTGAAATCTAACAACATTTTCATAGGGTACTTCGGGAATATATCAAATACATGTTCTAGTTCTTCATAGAATCTATCCTTTATGTCATCAATTTTATCTACTGTTTGGGCATGAACATTCATAACAATGATATCACACCAGCGACCTTTTAGTATTATATATGATATCTTATCACTAACGAATTCTACACTCTTAACTGCTGATATGATTCTCTTATGTACGAGAACACCTGTACCTAATTCATGACTTTCATTCCCCTTTCCATGGAAAAATGTACAGTCTCCTGCTGGTGTGATGCCACCTCCATCCCATCTGACCTCCTGTAATCCGGCTAACTCTAACTTATATTTTAAGATTTCTTCTGCCACTGCCCTATGGGAACCTGCCCTGTACAAACTACGTACATTCCAAGTGCCAAATCTGATATCCATTTTCATTAGCTTAGGTCATTTATCCAAGGAATTCGTCCAGGTCCGAGGCTTTGTCTTCATTTTCTAAACATAATGATTTTTTACGGCGAGGAGTACGTAGCCCCACGCCCAACCCCCAAGCTGGAGGCCACCCCTTTTTGGCTTCCCTCCAAAAATGGAGGGTGTCTCCTCCATCCGCAACCTGAGGACGCGCCATGCCATGGTGACATGGACCCACCTAACGTGGATGTGTATATACATATATATATAAATTATTACAATATACTATCAGCTGGTTACAAATTACCTTGGTTGTTGCCAATCCATGCCTGGTAGATATGGCCAGTAATCTGACAACTCCTTTGCCAGTAAAGCTACAGGCATGCCATGGATATTTCCAGTAGAAGATGTGGCATTGGTGTTGAGATCGGCATGAGCATCCACCCAAAGTAAAGCAATATTACCTTTTACTTTCACATGACCATCAATAGTTCCAATGCCACATGAATGATCACCACCAATGGTCAGGCACATACGTCCTTCATTTAATATATGGATTACACTGTCTGATACCTAGACAAATCAGTGAATTATTGCTTTATCATCTGGCAAGTTTCTTATGCCATTTTATGTATCAAGCTCACCCTAATTCAAATACACGTTTATGAGCTTCTCAGACTATTCATGTGCACCTGGGGATGGAAAGTTCTACATCCAGGTGTGACACAGAAGTATGTTTGTAGACTTCAGAAGGTTAAAATTGTTTTTTTCATGCAGGCATTATGTAAGTCCAATAAAGGTAAGGTACTGTCCTTGTGCTTAACTAATTAAGCACAACTATGCCATGGAGGCATATGGGGGAGTGGATGTATAGATTCACATTTTCTTGACCTTGGTATTAGATGGAGGGGAGTGGTCAGCTTCATGCCCCCTGACACTTCACCCCCTGGGAAAATATCCATTGGATAGGAGGTTTAGTGGACCCCCAGAGGCGTTTTGGACAACGTGGAGAAGAGAATATTCTTGACCCTGCTGGGACTCGAACTCCGATCACTTGCTCATCCAGCCCATAGCTAGTTCCTATACTGACTACGCTATCCTGGTTCCCATGTAAATCCAATACTAAAATTATATGTACGATGGCTCCATTTGGAAATCAATTTTTTGATGGCCAGTCTCAAAAGGAAATATTCAGAACCAGTGATAAACACATCTCTGGTGGAACACACTGCCCCACCTACCTACTTACTTACTTACTTGAGGAGCAGCCAATTCTGCAGCTACTCAAGAATTTCCGAGCATTTTATGGAACCCGAAGGTTCATCACCGTGTTCACAAGAGCCCTCCACTGGTCACTATCCTGAGCCAGATCTATCCAATCCATACTATCCAATTCTATCTCTCTAAGATACTGTAACGTGTTTCGTTACAGAATACGCCGTAGAGATCGTTAACTGGTTTATTGAACAATCTACAAATAACGGCTACAATTAATTATCACACTATTACGGGTTTCCACACTTTACAAACCCTACAACAAAATCTCTTAACACAATCTTCACTTGTCTTCACGTACTAATAACGCGGGAGCTATACAAGTCTCCCTGAATTACACACTCCGAGTATAACTGTACTACAGCACTCACTATGTCTGGAAAGCACACGAAAAGTCTTCCGCTCACTGACTTCTTAAGTATCGCACACTCGCGGGCTGCTATGTTTCAACTCGGTGACTGTTACTTTATAACTGACTCGCAGCCACTGTGCAGCTCACTTATATAGCTGCAGTGCTTGCTTGTTGCGTAATGAGTGCCACGTCATCCTGTTACGTCACCGCTGTTGATTCGCCTTGCATAGTTACCCGGTTACGGGGCTCGGCTATCTTCGGCTCCGCTCGGCTCTCTTCGGCTCCGCTCGTGACGTCACCGCGCATAGCTGCCAGGATGCGGGGTGATTACTCGCCTATTACGCGAGCGTTACGTTACCGCTGAGGGGTGGGAGGGGAGCGCTGACTCACCCGCCGCGTCACTGCTGGTGTGGGGGGGGGCTCGGNATCACAATACATTCTAATATTGTCCACCCACCTACGCCTTGGTCTTCCTTGTGGTCTCTTTCCTTCTGGCTTTCCCACCAATATCCTATACGCATTCCTCGTCTCCCCCATTCGTGCTGCATGACCTGCCCACCTCATCCTCCTTGACTTTATCATTCTAATTATACTTGGAGAAGAGTACAAGTTATGAAGCTCCTCATTATGCAGTTTTCTCCAACCTCCTGTCACTTCATCTCTCATTGGTCCAAATATTCTCCTCAACACCCTATCCTCAAACATCCTCAGTCTGTGTTCCTCCCTTAATGTCAGAGACCAAGTTTCACACCCATACGGAACCACACATACATTAAATGCTAACATGTTTAGATGCCATAAGATACGATAAGAATACAAAAGCTCTCGGCTACTACATAATAAATATTGTGCTTAAAGTATGCACCAACTGCACAACATCACAGATTTTTAGATCTGATAAATATTGCTAAATATATATTGGAGGACTGGATATATCCCTGGAGACTTGTGTCTTGGTATTGTAATATCTTACATAAAGAAAAAACAGTGAAAATTGTGAAAATTATCGAGATATTAACTTACTATGTCTAGCATATGAATTATATATCACAATCATTTCAAGAAGAATAAATGTAACAAGTGACCCTTTAAGCCACACCATAGTTCAAGTCGCTGGCTTCCCACCGCGATGGCCTGGGTTCGATCCCGGGTCTGGTCAAGTGGGATTTGTGATGGACAAAGTGGCGCCAGGGTAGGTTTTCTCCGAGTACTTCAGTTTCCCCTGTCAATCTTCATTCCACCAATTGCTCCACACTCACCCTCACCTATCATGTGGGCCTGGTACAATAGGCCAAAAGTGGCCGCAGTACAAGGGACATAGTCCCACCCCACTAGCAATTAAAAAAAAGTGACCCTTCCTTAGAGAATAACAAAATGGATTTAGAAGAGGAAAGTCTTATATGGACAGCATATTTACAATTCAACAACTCCTGGAGAGACATACATAATATAATATAGATACATATCTGCCCTTCATAGACTATGTAAAATCATTTGGTTTTGAATTGAATTGAATTTATTTACATTCTATAAATCCTAAGCAGGTTAGTACCTTTGGATACAGAACATGTCAAAAGGTTACATACATAAGTACAGGCAATTTTAGCTTAAAAATTAATATAACTTAATTTTACATCATTCTCTATTTACATTGAAGTATTCATCTAAAGAGTAGAAGGAATGAGCATGTAGATAATTCTTTAACTCTGATTTAAACTTTTTAGTATCATTGCCCAAGTTTTTAATACTTTGTGGCAGATTGTTGAACACTTTTATGCCAGTAAAGTAGACTCCTTTTTGATATACTGATAAAGTTGATGAGGGTAGGTGGAAGTTATATTTTTGTCTAGTATTCATGTTATAGACATCAGAATTTAATTTGAATTTATCTTTGTTGTAAACAACAAATAAGAGAAGCGATAATATGTATTGCGATTGAAGAGGTAGAATTTTTAATTTCTTAAATAATTCTCTACATGAATCTCTACTTCTACATCCTGTAATGATTCTAATTATATTCTTTTGTATTTTAAAAATTATTACACTATGTGAAGAGTTCCCCCAAAATATTAATCCATAGTTCATAATAGAATGAAAGTAGGCATGGTAAACCATCTTCAATGTTTCCTGTGACATAAAAGGCTTAATTGATCTCATCGTATAGCAAGCTGCATTTAATTTAGGTATAATTTGTTCAATATGTATTTTCCAAGACAGTGTACTGTCTACATATATTCCAAGGAATTTTGTATCAAGTACTTTACAGATTAATTTGTTGGCATAACTGATGTCCAGATCAATTTGGTGGTTGTTTTTAGTTGTGAATGATATGTAATGGGTTTTATCAATATGGGGAATATGTGAAAAAATGGTAGAGGGAGAAGCATTAACAGCTTCAGGGATCTGGAGTGGGTCAATCGATGGGACTTCTTTCCATCCATGGTTTCAGTATAGTTGCTACCATACAAGCAGTCAAAGTGTTTTAATCCTGACCAATGCCACTACTCAGTAAACGAAACCATTTAAAAATCCTTTCTTTGTTTCGTGACTTGAAATTAAAATATAAGTTCACTGTTGACCATACTGGCATACCAACAGATCACAACAAACTGATCAAATTAATTGGTTTGAAAGAGAAGAAGAGATTGACATTCTTGCAACAGCTGAAAGGGGAACAATTATTCCTGCAACACAGCAGGATAGTATGTTTCTATTTTGCACTTTTTTCCCAAGAGCAAGAAAGAGCTCAGACCTCTTCAGCTGAGCACCTCCTTAAACAATCATGGTTCATTTTCCCTCTGGATGGATGCAAGCAGCATATTTTGCCATACTTGGTTTGATCACTTTCTGAAGCTGGAGGTAAAAGCTCAGAATTATCTCGTTTTGCTCATTTTACATTAGCACGCATCCCTTATCAAAAGCATTGCACTGCTGGAAAAGGCATCTAAAGACAATGTGCATGTATTTATACACAGCCAACACATCACAATGGTTGCAGCTGCTGGGTGCTTTATTTGTCACCCTTGAGCATATATTATTCCTGAGAAGGAAAGACATTCAGACAGAATCTAGAAGAGTTGTCTCAATTCATCAAGTAGTATGAAGTCAATTCCAGCAGAAACACAGATGAAATCAGCTCTGTTTCATGTCAGTCCAAGTGATATAGTGCCTATTCTCAAAGCTGGGACTGCACTGAGGAGTATGATGGGACATGGATATATTGACATGAAGTTAATATTTTGAAGAATTAAAAGTTAAAAATATCACAACTTTTGTCTCAAATAAATGTATCCAGTTGAGAGACAACTTTCTGGAAAATGTGGAACAAGATAAAAGAAGTATTAAAAAAGCCTGGTGCAAATAAGGGTACACTGAACAAAGAAAACACAACATACATGTTTTGTGGCAACTGTTTTCTAAATCAAAACTTAGGGAAGACTAAGTTCAAGTTGCAAAAAAATTGGGACATACACTGCTACATATGATAAGGAAACAGAATAAAGATATACCTATGACTTAATTGTCACATCTTTGTTTTGTTCTTAGATATGAAAACTGTGTGTCTGAGTTTTATTGATATGACTTTTGTCCTTGAATATTGTGGCACACTTGCTCAAAGCAAGACTTGTGGAACAACTGCTGTTGCTAGTGAACGGCTCTGAAACAACATTCGTTTCTAGGTAACAACCATGAGGCGGGTAATGGAAGAGACGGCAGCTGGTAGGAAACGGCTCAGTAGACACGTTCCTGCATACAACAATAGAGAAACTGCTGGAAACGGTGTTCTCTACTCAGTCTGTGCTGAGATGTTATAAGCAAGGGACAAGATTATAGCTTAATCAGGACTTTGATTTGAGAGATTAATCAGCTAGTCAGTGTCAGTCAGGAGGTTGGTGTGAAATGGCCGTGAGTCAGTTGTAAGTTAGACAGGCAGCTGGAAGGGAGCCGACATTCAGACAGAACTTCAGTCCAGAGGCAGAGGAATAGTCCCTGTTAGAAGTTGTTGCCAGGAAATGTCTTGGAACAGACTGAAAACACTAGACTCTGTGGTCTAGTGAACTGTAAAGTCTGTAGATCAGTGACAGCACTATAATTAAGCGTAATTATGAGTAAAGTAAAGTAAAGTAAAGGTATCCCTGTAACAGGCCGTGAAGGCCCATAGGTATGTGAGATGTTGAGGTTCCCACATTATCTAGACAGTCGTTTTATAGTAATTACGATGGTTGGAACTTTAATGGTGGCAACACTGCTGTAGAGACGCCATGCAACGGAACCAAATAATGTCGCTTATACCACACGTTAGTTACATACCTACCTTACCTCTGAACAAATGGACTCTCCCTTCCCACATCACGCGCATGCGCAGTGACGAGAAGACCAGAGCCTCGTGTTAGCTAGCGGGCTGTCTAATGTAGTCTTGTCACGATGTTTTCTAAACAGGAACAACGGAGTTGGATAAAGATTGAATGTTCCGGAGGCCGTACAGCACGACAGTGTCATCAAGGTCTTCAAGAGGCTTGCCGGGAATCTGCGTTGCCTTACAGAACAGTGGCAAGGTGGGTAAAAGCCTTCAACGAGGTACGCCAAAATGTGGCAGACATGCTTCGGCCAGGTCGTCCTAGTATCAGTGAAGAAGTGTATATTCTTTCCGCGTTACTGGAGAGTGATCGACGCCATACGATTAGTGAGCTGGCCCGAGAGACAGGATTAGCGCATACGACTGTGCTTCACATTCTGAAGGAACGCCTGGGCATGAGAAAAATTGCATCACGATGGGTTCCGCATGATTTGACGGAAATGCAGAAATGGCTACAATACGACGCTGCTCGTAACCGCTATGAGCGTGTGAGAGAGGCTTTCTTACGACGTATCATTACTCTGGATGAGACATGGGCCAAATCGTAAACAACTTCTGACACCAAACTGTCACGTGTTGGGTAGGTCACGAGACAAACAACTTCACGCCGTTCTGGATCTAGCAAATTTATTGCACATTCCCTCTTACATTTACACAATTTACAACCTCACAACTACTATCATCGGCAGTATCACAATTACTTCTCCTGCTCCCATTCACTCCGGCGAATGCTAAGACTGGAACTGACTGGTTACTCCCTCTCACTGACGAATACTCCTGTTATGTAGCTTCCGCACTGACAACACAGAAAACAGTTACGTGATAGTTACCATTGTTGCGTAACGTCGTGTTTACAGGCGTTGCTGGGGAACGCTGCCGAGAGTTGTTTGCTGCTGCGTCGCAACCGCGGTGTCCCCTGTTACGCCACCGCGGGGAGGGGGTGTTTACTGAGCGGTGCGTAATAATGGAAGGAGTGGGGATATGTGACGTCACTCGCGAGACCGCAGAGGTCACGTGAGCCCTACTTCCTGCTGCGCCTGCAGATCTAGCGCTTGTCGGAGGGCCTCGTTTACCGTCTTCTCCCCTCCCAGTGGTAGCTGAATCTTGATGCCGGCATCTCGTATTCCGTATGCGAATGCTTTTCCTGCTTCTCTTGCTACGTAGTCTACAGGTAGGTTGGGGGTAGGCACGACAGGCAAACATTTCGATGGCCGTGGCGAAGTCTTGTAGGGATTCTACGGGGTTCTGTGTCCTCGTCAGTTGGCAGCGGTAGGCCTCTAATGCCTCTAATGCCTGAAGGGTATCCTCGTAAGCCGTATTCGTGGGGATGCCGCGTAGTACATCTGCCGCTCAGCCCTGCAAAGCGGTGATTATGTACGTAGATTTTTCCGGTCCGACCATTGGTTGTGTTCCGCTACGATCTCGAATTGTCGTCGGAACACACTCTACGTTGTATTTCCTTCGAACGTCGGTGGCTGAGCTATGCCTGCGCTGACTGTTGATGTGTTTGCCCTCTCGAGGCTGAGCTATGCCTGCGCTGACTGTTGATGTGTTTGCCCTCTCGACCCTCGTCTGTTTCGTCTCATCCAACCTGGCCTGGAACTCGCGTTCGGGTTCCTCAATTCTTTTGCAGGTTTCGTTATAGGTTTTTGTGAGGTCTTCCCGGAACTTCTTCGTTGTCGCGTTGTGGTACATTTCTGCTGTCTGTAGCTCGATTTGTGTCTTTTCGATTCTCTCCGTAAGATCTTCGAGCTTTGCATATGTCTTGGTCTCGATGGCATGCATTATCCCCTCCATCATTTCCTTCATTTCCCTTCAGTCAGCCTGTCTGTCGTCCTCTAGTTTGGCCAGTAGTTTTTTGTGGCCGGTCTCCGCCTCGTTCTGGTTGCCTATCGCTTCTCCCCGCATGGCCAGCAGGAGTTACATTATTTGTTGTGACTCCAGTCTTCTTTGTTTTGTAATGTAACGCTTGTTGTGCTCGTATATTCAATTATTCCCCTTAAATCGAAGCGTGTTTAAGTTCGCGCCTGTCGGTCACGTGTGGAAGTCCAATCCCACTTCTGACACCAGTTGTCACGTGTTGGGTATGTCACGCGACAAATAACTTAACGTAGCCTTCGGATTCAGCGATTATTTATTCTCCTTCTCTTTTACACTTATACACTCTTTATACTGTGACATGTTGCGCAAAGGAGAACCCCCCACCAGCAGTGACGCGGCGGGTGAGTCAGCGCTCCCCTCCCCCTCCTCCGCACGGTAACGTAGCGGTGACGTCACCGAGGGATATCGCGGTTGCTAGGCAGCAGTCAACAACTCCGGACAGCGTGGCTAGCAACACGGCACCAGACGACAATTGTCCGATCGAGGCTACATGAGGAGCAGCGAAGGCTATTCACAGCCAGTCCTGGAGCTACCTACGAGTTAGTCCTGGAGCTACCTACGAGTCAGTCCTCGACCTACCTCCGAGTTAGTTCCGAGTTAGCCAGCAACTAGTCAGTTGTATTCTGGCATTTGGAGTCTACTATTTGTGATACTGCAGATAGCAGTAATTGTGAATCTGTAATTTGGGTGATTGTAAGTGCGAATGTGAAATAAAATTCGCTATATCAAATACGGCGTGAAGTTATTTGTCGCGTTATACGCCCGATACGTGACAATACTGTACAGTCAAACTGCTCTGGTCGCTCCTCGACTTCACTCGGCGAATGCTAGGCTTCAACTGTCTCGTTCCTACGTGTCTACCTAGTCCAAGTCCAAGTCATATTGTGACTGACGGTCAGTCAGTCAGTAAGTCTTGGTGTCGAGCCTTGTCTGGGGCTCATGACCAGATATTTATTACTGTTGAACGTTACGGTTTTGTTTTTTGTGGGGTGCCCTCTCTGACGAGAGGACGGATCTTTCTTTCTCACGTGCTACTGGGTCTTGCCAGCGTAGTCTTTCTCGGGTCTGAGCACCTTGAGACTCGAGACCATATTTTACTCTCTCAGATTTGAGATTTCCCTTTTTGTCGCCTCGTTCTGCTTACAACTCTATTATATAGGCGTTATGCGGACCGGATACCAGACACCATTTCTCACAATTTCGTTTCCGCTGTTCCTACAGTCCGTTGTTATGCAACAAGCGCAACGAACTCTCTGTTGTTCATCTCCGGGGAGACGCGTTCGTTTTGTCAGCATTCTCTATGCAACGGCTCACTGTCCCGTTACCATAGAAGTACCTCCTCCAAACACGCTACGAGCCACAAATGAAACGCCAATCGAAAGAATGGCGTCATTATGGGTCATCACGAAAATTAAAAGTTCGTCAGCAACCCAGCAATGTGAAAGTTATGGCGATTCTCGGGTAGGACTCTGATGGGGTTATCCTAATGCATACCGTTCCCTGACAGCAGACCGTCAATGTGCAGTATTACTGTTCATTCTTGGAACACAAACTGCGACCAGCTTTGAGAAAGAAGCGGCGATATTTTCTGCAGAACCCATCCATCATTTTGCAGGACAATGCTCGGTTGCATGCAGTGAAGGCTGTGGCTGATTTGCTTGATTGATGGGGCTGGGAAGTGCTGTACCATCCAGCACACTCCTCGGACTTAAGCCCCTGTGACTTAGACTTGATTCCTAAGATGAAGGAATCACTTCGTGGCATTCGCTTCAGAACTGTCCTAGAGATTCTTTAGGCCATAGACCGCTCCATTCGAACTATCAACATAACAGGCGCTGCTAAAGGTATCCTACGACTTCCACATCACTGGCAATGGGTTGTACACAATTCTGGTGACTACATTGAAGGACAGTACAACTTTGAAACATGCATCTATTTTGTATCAGTTGTAAATAAATAGTTGCCACTATTGAAGTTCTAACCCTCATATTAGTAGTGTGTTAAAGTGGTCAATAAATCCTGCCTTTGACTTTATCCCATATATGGCCCAAAGTGAAAAATGTACCTAGGCTGCAAGAATATTTTAGATATTATAGAATTTCCTTCTTCACTTTATTCAGGAAGATTTTCCCAAAGCTTATATACAAACAAATTAACCTTGAATTGTATTCAAATACAAGCCTATACACAAATATTTTACGTGCATTACTCTTCTGTTTTGCCCCGTCTCCCCATATATTTTGTCCAAAATATTTACCTCCTTTTGACATGCTGCAATATGTCCAAGTGCTGTCATGTTTTCAACCATTAATCCATCTATTTGCTCATACACAACATCTCCAAAATCCTTCACGTCACAACCTACAAAGAATATAATATACACTTAGAATCTCCATGAACAGAAATACACTCTCTAATTCTTGGAAGTATTACATAAGATCAACAAAAATTTTAATCACCCAACACAGCAACATACAAGTACATATTCACAGAACGAAATAAGCGATTTTCTGTTCATGTGCACCATAAATTCACAGCTGAGTCATTAATACCTTATCCCAGCCCTTTTGAGGCTGAAATTGCTATTGCAAAATTGAAAAGGTATAAATTGCCAGGTAGTCATCAAATTCTGGCAGAACTTGTTCAAGGAGGAGGCAAGATATTACATTCTAAGATCCATAAGTTAATTACTTATATTTGGCACAAGGAAAAATTGCCTCATCAGTGGAAACAGTCTATTATTGTACCAGTTCACAAGAAGGGTGATAAAACTGACTGCAGTAATTATCGGTGGATATCATTCCTATCCCATGTTACGTGGGTCCTGTCACCATAGCATGGCACATCCTGAGGTTGTGGATGGAGGAGACGCCCTCCAGTTTGGGGGTTGGGCGTGGGGCTAACAACTCCTCACCGTAAAAAAATCATTATGTTACGGATATGAACACAAAGCCTCAGACCTGGACGGAGTCCTTGAATAAACGACCTAAGCTAAAGAAAATGGATATGAGATTTGGCTCTTGGAATGTACAAAGTTTGTATAGGGCAGGTTCGCTCAGGGCAATGGCAGAAGAAATCTTGAAATATAAGTTAGATTTAACGGGACTACAGGAGGTCAGATGGGATGGAGGTGGCATCGCACCATCAGGAGAGTATACATTTTTCTATGGAAAGGGGACATAAAATCATGAATTAGGTACAGGTTTTTTCATACATAAGAGAATTGTATCAGCAGTTAAGAGGGTAGAATTCGTTAGTGATAAGATATCATATATAATACTAAAAGGTAGCTGGTGTGATATCATTGTTATGAATGTTCACGCCCCAACAGAAGATTTAACATATACAACAAATCCAACATATAAAAACATTCAATTATAAGTATGGTTATCACATATTCACGATGATTATCCATTTACTGTACTACTCAACATCTTATATATTTATGTAGTTGTATAATCATTATCTCTTAAAAAATTCATCCAGTATATAAAAAGAATTTAAATAAAGAAATTCCTTTAAATTGTTTTTAAACTTATTTATATCCTTAGAAGTTACTTTAATATTATTAGGTAGTGCATTGTAAATCCTTATGGCCATGTGAGTTACCCCATTACCATATTTCGCCCAATTTAACTGACTTAAATGTATATCCATATTATGTCTAGCATTTATTTCATAGTGATCCCTGTTTGTATCAAATGTTTCTCTATTTTTTACTACAAACATCAGCAGAGAGTATATACGTGTATACTGTGATCTTAAAGGAAATATATTCATATTCCTAAACAGTTCTCTGCATGACTCTCTGTAGCCACATCCTCTTACTATTCTTATAACTCTCTTTTGTATCTTAAAAACTCTTTCTGCATGTGTTGAGTTACCCCAAAACATTACTCCATATGTCATAACAGAATGGAAGTATGAATAATAAACACTTTTTAATGTTTTTACAGACACCACTGGTTTTACATTTTTTATCATATAACAAGCTGTATTTAATTTCTTTATTATCTCATCTATATGTCTATCCCAAGTTATATCATTTTGGACAGTCAGGCCAAGAAATTTTATGTGATTTGTATTTAATAAAATCGTTCCTATCCCTCCCATTTCTCTAACTACGAGTACATTATTTTTTACAGTGAAGTTTATATAATATATTTTCATTATACAGGTATTAAGTGACATTAATTTTTTTTAAACCAGTCCTCCAGCTTCCTATATACTCGTACTTCATTTATTGTATTTTTAAGTTTTATTAGATTGTCTTGAGAGATTAAAAAACTTACATCATCAGCAAATAGAATGGGAATATTCTAGTCTACAAAATCTTGGGTAGGTCATATATATATATAAATGTAAATGTTGGTTTGTTAGCCCTCGAAGATCTCCGAAAATTCTTCACAGATTGCTTTGAAATTTTGACACAATGTTGCATTCGAACACGCGAGTGTTTTTATATACCCATTATATAGCTGTCACACCTGTGACAGGTAAAAACATGCGTCTTTTGAAACCCGGAATTGGAATTTGGAATTCAGAAGAGTGACCCCTATGGAAACGCTAGAACAGACTGTTGCATAGGAAGTAACAATAGCGATACTGTATCGAATCTCCATTGTTACGACGAATACACGGAGCGTTCCCACAGAGACAACGCACAAACAATGGGTCGTTGCGTAGGAATCGCGGAATCAACAAAGCAGCACGTGGCTGAAGATATTTTCCTTCGAATGCGCAAGGATAATTCCAATATGAACATGGATTTCACAACAGAAACCTACAAAGAGGCGTTGATAATGATTGAGGATTTGTGCTTAGAAATCGCGAACAAAGTTGTCAATCAATTGGGAATGCCATCACTGAATCGATCTGCTGCTTTGTTCAATGTAGAATTACGTCGTGAACAAAATTACAGCACGGGTGATCTTTTGTCGTATGTGCAATCAAATATTCCTAAGCTAACGCTTGAGCAAAAAGGCATATACGAACAAATCATGCAAACTGTCAATAACGGGGTTACAGAAAACTTCTTCTTAGATGCGCCAGGAGGAACTGGTAAAACGTTCCTAATTAGATTGATTCTGGCAACAATTCGATCCCAAAATGACATAGCCTTAGCTCTTGCGTCGTCCGGAATAGCTGCGACATTGCTTCCAGGTGGAAGACTGCTCATTCCGCTTTGAAATTGCCATTGAACATGCAATTCATTGAAACTCCCAACATTTCCAAAGGATCAGGCATGGGAAGGGTATTGCAGAAATGCAAACTTATTGTTTGGAATGAATGCACAATGGCGCACAAAAAATCGCTTGAGGCTCTTGATCGATCATTGCAAGATTTGCGTGGAAACATCAGACCATTTGGGAATGCATTAATATTGCTTGCAGGGGATTTCAGGCAAACATTACCTGTAATTCCTCGATCGACACCAGCGGGCGAAATGAATGCTTGCCTGAAATACTCTACTTTGTGGCGACACGTAAAGACGTTAAAATTAACTACAAATATGCGTGTCCAGCTGCAAAACGATCCATCAGCTGAGATATTCTTGCATCAATTACTGGAAATTGGGAACGGAAAGGTGCCGGTTGATCTGACCTCAGGACGAATTTCATTGCCTCATAACTTCTGCAATTTAGTGACGTCAAAGGAAGAATTGGTTGAAAAATTATTTCCCAATGTTGAAACCAATTATAAGAATCACGACTGGCCGAGTGAACGAGCTATTCTTGCGGCCAAGAACAAAGACGTCTATGAACTTAACAATATCATTCAGTCTAACATTCAATGTGAGGCAGTCACATACAACTCTGTCGACACTGTTGTGGAAGCAGATGATTGTCTTGAGAGATTAAAAAACTTGCATCATCAGCAAATAGAATGGGAATACTCTAGTCTCCAAAATGTTGGGTAGGTCATGTATATATTATAATAATATAATATACATATATTGTATGATATATTTCCTATCCAGAATGGTCTAAGACAAGGAGATGCTTTATTGCCACTCCTTTTCAATTTTGTTTTAGAATATGCCATTAGGGAGGCCCAGGAAAATCAGGTGGGACAATACTGGGTGACAATATAGATATCATAAAGAAAACACACAACCTTTAATTGATGCAAGAAAGGAGGTTTGTCTAGAAGTAAAAAGAGAAAACTACGTATATGTTGCTGTCTCGTGACCAAAATGCAGGACAAAATCATGACATAACGAGAGAAATCAGGTGTTTTGAAAATGTGACACAGTTAAGATGTTTGGGAATGATGATAACAAATCAAAACCTGAATCAGAAGGAAATTAAGAGGAGATTGAACTCGGGTAATGCTTGCTACTATTCAGTCCAGAATCTTTTGTCTTCTCGTCTGCTGCCCCAAAACATGAAAATTAAAATATACAAAACTATAATTTTGCCTGTGGTTTTGTACGGGTGTGAAACTTGGTCTCAAGAGGATGAGGTGGTCAGGGCATATAGCACGAATGGGGGAGAAAAGGAATGCATATAGGATATTGGTGGGAAAGCCAGAAGGAAAGAGCCCACTAGGAAGACCAAGGCATAGGTGGGTGGAAAATATTAAAAATAGAGACAGGATGGGATTGTATGGATTGGATTGATCTGGCTCAGGATATGGACAGTGAAAGGCTCTTGTGAACGTGGTAATGAACCTTCGGGTTCCATAAAATGTTGGGAAATTCTTGTGTAGCTGCAGATTTGGCTTCCCATCAAGAAGGGCTCAACTCCATAAGTAAGTAAGTATGTGCACCATAAATTCATTCCAGATCACATGGTGATGTTGATGTCCCCATTTCACAATAGCATTTAAAGAAACAACATTCTGCAGATTAGATTTGGTACTGGATAACAGGGTAATATTCATCTACATGTATTGTGGAACTCCAAGTGTGATCCAAAATTGTACTGAAGTATACACTTGAATTCAAGATTGTAGTATCAGTTTTCACAGTTCAAACACAGTTTAAAATGTACTTCATGTGACAATTATTTTTGTGTGTTTAAGCATAGACATCAGTATACAATAATTTCAAGACCTCTTGGTAGTCTGCTCAGCTAACATGACACACTCTTTAAGGCACTTCCAAATGGAATTAAAATCAAGTAGAATTTAGTGAACATGATCCTGAACCTTTGGGTTTTATAAAAGCAATGGATTTCATTGACAAAGTCAGCAACTCTTAATACGTAATTATATCTAGATAAGCTGAGGTAAACTGTTACACAGTTATAATGTGGAACTTATACATAAGAAAGCTGTTAGCAGAATTCTGAACAATGGAATATGATATTTAAAGCTGCAGGTTCACATTTTTGGAGAATACCAGTTGGGGGTGAGATAGCAAAGGTTATAGATGTCAATTTGAGCATGTTATGCCACCACTGTTATTCCGTGGTGACAGGTGGCGTGGAGGTATCCCCGCTGTCACCTTCTGTACTGCAGTCACAGGGGTAGGGCTAAGGAAACGACTAAATTACTTCCTCTATCATTGCTTCATTGGCTAGGGGCACACTGTTCACCGGGCTTGGCAGGAGGGTGCAGGTGCGAAATGTGGTAAGGGAGGAAATCACAACAACAGAAACCCACATCCTCACCCTATGCTACCCTATATTACTATTATTGTCACGTGTTTTGAGTTCGAATCTCGTTGGTCATGTGTGTAAGTTCGGATCCCACTTCTGACACCAAATGTAATGTGTCTTGGGTACTGAAGACGCCGTTCAGATTGTTAACTGGTTTATTCAACAACCTACAAGTAACGGCTACAATTAATTATCACACAGTTGAGGGGTTTCACACGTTATAACCCTAATCGCAATAATCTGTTTACACTGTTGCGGGGTTTCACGGTACGCAGGAGCTATGTAAGTGTCCCTGAATTACACACTCCAAATATAACTGTACTACAGCACACAGGAAGTCTTGAAAGCACACAATAAGTCTTCCACTCGCTGACTTCTTAGTTATCGCACACTGTCATATAAAATCTTGTAACCACGCGTTCGGGTCTTCTTCTCGCGACTGCTGCTATATTTCAACTCAACTCGTAGGCTGCTGCCTTGAGAACTGGTGATCACACACTTTTACTCGTTCACTGCTGAGTGGAGAACTGTTTTCGGCCGCTCATACACTTTAACTCTCTCCAGGGACAGCTACAAGTTAACTTGACTACAACTCAACTCGGCGACTGCCACATTACAACTCAACTCACGCTTACCGCTTCAGCCGGCTTTTATTCCGTTCGCTGTTGCCTGTTGCCTGCGTCAACAGCGTCGTTGCGTGCCACGTAACACTGTCTGCATATAGCCTAGCAACGCTGTTACCTCACGCCGTCTTACGTCACCGCGCATTGCGCGTTACTTCACTGTGCGGGGGGGGGACGGAGCGCTGACTCACCCGCCGCGTCACTGCTGGAGGAGGGGGGTTTCTCCGTTGCGCAACATGTCACAGTATGAACAAGCAATATACAGTTATATACATTTTAGTAATATCACAAAGAGCCGACTAGTGTCAGGTTACCATTACACTTTCTTAGACGATTCTTGGACCTCATCTTTCTCTCTCTTTTCACCCAGTTGCGGGTCGCTAGCCTCCTCTTTCTCCTGTTCTACTCAACCACTGTATATATATCTCTACACATCCCTGCCACTAGACCCCCTCTGCAGTCGCTACATTACACCTGTCTACCTCTGCATCACTCCGTTGGATCACTCTTACGCCCTGTACACTTGTTGATATGTTCCTAGCTCATGTCCCATTGGGGAAGTTACACTTTAATAATATCACAATTCTTAAGCATGGCGATAAGAGTAGTTCCACTTACTTGGGTTGAGCGTGCAGATGGATGGCGTTGCCTGGTTTTTAGTCGGTGCCCCTTCTGGCATGGCCTGCGGCCGCAAATGAGCCAAAATTACTGTTTGAATAATCCCCATAATAATTTGCTCTCCGCGTTATATACCTTTATTCATGCTAACTCATTACTTTCCCTGGGGGTGTAAGTCCGCCTCCAATGACGTCTTATCCCAAGGTGGGTGATCTCATTGGCTGGGATCCTAAGGGCATGGACACACCCCTTGTCTGCTAGACCATTTGGCTAACACTTTTACCTGCAAACGTCCTCCCTTCACTCCAGTGTAAATTCTGTAGTTAGCAGTTCGATATACCTCCGTCATTCTGCAGACAAGAAATCAACGCATCAAAGGCTAACGGCCGTCTAACTCCATATGCAGAAATTCCTTGAAGTTTCTTAACCCTTCTTACACCCTCTTTCGTACGTCTTACAAGTATTTCCCAAAACTAATTTTGCTCTAGCCAACATTTTCCCCATAAATACAAAAAGTTAAATACTCTTTTAACATGTTACCGGGAGTTGGCCTTCAGGGCACAACAGAGCATTTACAGCTTTCTCATGAATTACATTTTGACTTATTAGAGGCTCTAGGTATGAACAGTTCATGAATGCAGAATATTCTAGATTTGACATTTTGTTGGCAGTAACTATGAAGCATACTCTCCTCTGGAGTGTGACACCATGTAGTCTAGTAGAAGTGTACTGATGTTTGAATATGTAGAATACTATCTTCTGCGAAGTGGTCCATGACGTTTGGTGGAAGTTTACTGATTCTACTTGATGGGCTTATTTTTCAACCCTGATGATAGAGGCAGTATATTTCTCCAAAACATCATTAAACTTCTATCATACTACAAAACAGCACAAAGCAGATGACAATATTCTTCAAATGTAGAGCAGTTAGAGAAAATACTTCAAGTCAGCAGAATATGAGGCCATTTCTGAGCAAATGGACACAAATCAGCTTGCTTCTACATTACACAGTTAAAACTGTGAAAGAAGCAATAATTTGTTCATGTGCAGTAAACATTATTTTCCTTACCAGATAAAGTGATAAAACAGATTATAGTGTTAGGTACTATGTTCCACATATCTGCAAGGAAAAATAATTTAGAAGCTTAATAGTTTTTTACACAAACCAAGAATGTTAAAGTAATGCTTCTGTGAAAACATTTCTCCAACAAATATACTATTCTCTAGATATGTTTTTTCTCTATTGTAGACAATGTTAATATGTATTTATGATAATAAGTTGCAATGTAAGTGTTATATGCATGTTGTATTTAATTAAAACATTGTCCTTTTGGGTTTGAATTGTAATAAGGGGGGGAAAAGGAAGGTGGAATATTGATGTGATTTGTATTTCAGTGTGGCACCATGGAGCATAGTGTTGACGATCACAGTAAATTTACTTCTAAATATTCCTGCACACATAATGGTATATTCTAGACTTGTATACATGTAATAAACAGCTTGGAGGCCCGTAGTATAATTTTGACGTTAATTGTTTAGCCAGTCTCTCATCTTACAATGTATTTGTCCATTCTGTAGGGAATATATGAGTAGATTGCAACAGGATGCACGAAATGAAAATTATAAAACTGTTTATTGTAACTGAATATAAGTTGATTGTGCACCATGCCTGCAAGAGTTTGTGGAAACTGCACAGCCAATTTCATTGATAACTGAAACAAAACTGTATAAGCAGTTCACCAATAAAACTTGTCTGTAGCCATCAGCCTAATTACATGATTTTGTTATGATGTTAAACCCATATTTAGTGAGTCAAGGAACTTTGAAATATTCAAACATTCAGTATGTCCAAAATCACTTCCAAACAGATTACTGCTATCCACCACAAAATTCTTGTTCATTTGATGTTTACACCTAGGAAATTTCAATTCATGTATATTTTGAAAATTTTAACCACCTCATATCCTCACAAATTACATGTGATTCACAGGTACTTAGACATTTCCCATAGTTTATCAAGTTAAATAATAATAAAATTTTGATTTTAATTCAAGCATTCATGAGGCTTAAATTTGGGTTTAACTTGAAAACCACATTAATAAACACTTGACCTTTTATCTTACTACTGTATTATAATAAGTGCAGTTTAAGTTAAACAGTAGGATCACTTACTAATAAGGTCCATAGTAATAATGAAAGCACAATCCTCAAGTGACATCATGAACCTTTGCTCTGGTAGTGCAACTTACATTTTATCTTAACAGTGTTTTCAATATATATATGCACGTACACACACACACACACACACACACACAGGTTGGATAGCTTACCAAGATGTTGTAACTCTTCTATCAATCCAAGTTTTCTAAAGGCTTCTGGTCCAGATCCTACACCTCCCTTCAACTAGAAATTAAATAACTACATATCACAACTAATGTAATGCTGCAAATATAATCAGTAGTAACACTGTATATTAAAAGACTTTATACTACCTGTCCCTTATCAAATGGAACCCCAAGGACACCAATTCTGCTATGGCTTCTTCTCAAATTTATCAAAAGCCTATATCTTGTAAATCTACTAAAAATTCTTAAGCTAGAAAATTTCAACATGGCTTCTGTAATGATGCACGTTTCTTACACTGAATGTGCCCGACTACACTAAGGTTACTTGTATACATCTGAGCAGTCTTGCAAATATACATCCTATGCTAACCAAGAAGGATATTCTCTGAAATACCACAGACATGAGCACCATATTAGATATACTGCAGCAGTTTCAACATCAAAACTCTAATCAGTATTTTTGTAAGTTCCAGTTATCAACATTAGTTTCTCAAAGGCTACTCTGTAGTAAACAATAAATAAACCCATACATAAATTATGAACTCTCAACCCACTTGAGCTGATAATAGTTCCCATGTCAAGAGCTATCTGTGTTAATTATTTAGTGATTATGTCAGAAAGGATATGAATAAGACATCCAAAGTCCAGTTTACTTTGTCATAATCCAAAGAATCTGAATCAAACTGTAATTGTTTCAATACAGAATCATTACACGCTATGGATATTCTAAAACATATTATTCTGTGTAGAAACAAAAACTGAAACAATAAAAACATTTATATAAGCAGAGCAATCTCATAATACTCATCAAACAGTTACTCATTTCGACTAATATAAATATTATTATAAACCATAATTGAATATGCATTTTTTTCGCCGTCAATAATACACAGTATTTCGAAATTAAACAAACCACATCCTTGCCCGTGCTATTACATGAAATCTTTACATGAAAGTGCCGACGTACACACCACATGAAATAAATTCTCGCACAAATTTTCCATAGTATGATTCCCCGTTAAAAAGAAAGTCGAAAATACTGTACAACACATGTCCTGTGACATTTAATTTTCAAGCTACATGTCACTGTCAAATAGCACAACCTATTAAGTGATCTAACCATGGGCGCATCGCTGTTACCGCTGTTACAATGGGTGTTCGAAGCGGCCTCCGCTCATATCACGGAAGACGGCAGTGCGCCACACGTCATTGTATCGAATGGTCTCGTCTCAAACATGTTCGCATCCGTTCGCATCGACCGTCGTCATCGCGGCCACAGCTGCTTAGGTTCCGCCACGAGGTCTTCGATGGTCCTCGGCGGGGCTGTATAAACGTGCGCCTTCAGGTGTCCCCACAGGAACACATCTGAGTTAGACATGGCAACCGACTGGTCCTCGACGTCCACCCGACCTTCCGCCTATCCGTCGTGCTGGAACCGCAACATTTCCCCAAATATACGGGGGCTACGGGTGCATCATCAAGCAGCCAAGGCAAAACAGCTTCCAGAAAATCATTATTTCGTTGAGCAGTCAGCCTGTCGGACAGCAGAATAAAGCCCATGACAATTTCAGTCCAATGACACTGAAGCGACTTCACAATCACGTTCGCGGATAGCATGAGTATTACCCCATGCCATGAGATAACTCTTGTGGACATTAAATACACCCTAACTTGTAAAACATTCTTCATCTATCCACAGAATGTTATGCAAAAACCGCTCATCCACAGTGTGTTGATGTAGCCATTCAAAAAAATTCGTCCGTAAAGGACGGTCGTCTGGAAACACGAACCGTGAGTAGTGGTACGGATGTTAACTAATCATCATGAGCGTCATGAGGTACTTCGAATCCCGTTGGTTGGGATGGTCCCGTTTTTTTTATGTGATAGAGCGTAAGCTTCTCCATGGCTCTCGTTCCACAGATGCAATTATGGTATGTTCATTGGCTGGCATCCTTACAGTTCGTGAGTGATCTGCACTTATGCATGTCGCAGTGTTACACTTCTCTGCCTTACGGTGATGCTGTTCCAGTCGTCAAAACACATTCTCGTCCAGGTGACGTCTAGCGGGATAACGTAGAGCACGTAGAGCATATTCCCCTGCAACAGTACCAGCTTGGCTGTAACAGGTACCAGGGGTTAAAATCATTTCGCAATACTCGTCATGCGTGTGTTCCATGGCCATTCCATCACAACCGACCGTTATGTAGAGTGCGCCTTGATTACACTTAACACTTCGCTATGCATCGTCGTGACAAATTACACTGCCCCGAATTGTTATCCCGTTCTATGACGCTGTGCAACTCAAAAACTGGGCGTCTCCGTACATATGTTGTATAAAATTTCTGCCCCATCCTTTTTAACAAGGAATCACACTATGATTTCACTTCATCCTATATAAACACCTTCAGCTGAAATGATGACATATTTAGCAACACAATACTAATATGTTTGCTTGAAATAGGTGTATACTTAAAGTATTTTATTAAAATTCCTGTTCTGAAAGAAACACATCTTAGAGAAGTACGCTGGAAGAATGAGAACCAGACTGGATTTAGGATGTACACCAAAGCGGGACTTTTGTGGTGAATCAACGACATCTCTCTTATTTAAGGGAATAATGTGAAATTTTCAGTGAAAGCCCAGAACCAGTTTAGTTTCAAAAAGACTTGTCAGTTATGGATTAAAAAACTGAACTATTAGTAAGCATGGGAAATTTCTGACTGCACATTATAATACCTATATGCAGACTTACTAGACATAAGGTAAGGATGAGAGAAAAAAAAAGAGGTCTAAAGTGGTTGGAAAAGCTGTAAGCAACTGCAAATGGGCCACTATGCATTCAGTAGGTAGGTCGTACCGAAAGTCATGAACAACTTTTTTGCATGCAACCTGGGAAGAGCAGGTGAAAGAGAGTAAGGTGGTAGGTGGAACCAGCTGTCGTGTTAACCTAGAGTGTCTTGTGACGTCAACAGCTTTAATTACGTGAGCAGTATCACTCCTAACAAAATGGCTGACAACGATATGTCGTTTCGCCAGCGTGCTGTCATCAAATTTCTTGTGAAAGAGGAAATCCCTGCTGCAGAAATTCACCAGAGACTTCAGCGTGCTTATGGAAGTGTGTGCATGGGTGCGAGCAGTGTTCAAAGATGGATGAAACATTTTAATGATGGGAACACCAGCATCGAAGATGAGCCTCGGAGCGGTCGTCCTCAAACAGCTTCAACTGAACGCAACAGGGAAAGAGTGGATGAGATCATTCAAGACAACAGGCATGTGACTGTGAACACACTACACCGAAAACTTGGAATAGGGCACAGTGCAATACAGGAGATGATTGAAAGCATGGGCTATAGGAAAGTTTGTGCTTGTTGGGTCCCGCGGTTATTGACCGAAGACCACAAAGGTCAGCGAAAGCCATCACCTCAGAACTGCTGCAGAGATATCAACACGAATGCGATGATTTTTTGCTTTGTATTGTTGTGACAGGTGACGAAAGCTGGTTTCACCATTTCGAGCCTGAAACGAAACGGCAGAGTATTGAATGGCACCCTTTGCATTCTCAATCAAAAAAGAAGGCAAAGACAGTGCCATCAGCTGTGAAGGGGATGCAGAGGGGTTTATTCTGGCCGAATTCCTGGAACCTGGGCAAACCATCAATGCTGCTCCTTATGTCCAGACGCTGCACAAGCTCCGTTGTGCATTGTGCGATAAACGTCAGGGACGAAACATCATCATCCTGCATGACAACGCTCGCCTCACATTGGAAGCAATTGCAAAGATGGGGTGGGAAGTTCTTCCACACCCCTCCTATAGCCCTGATCTGGCACCCTCTGACTACCATCTTTTCGGATTTATGAAGGATCAGCTGCGTGGACAACGTTTTGAGACAAGGGAGGCAATTCAGAAAGCAGTGGATCAGTGTCTTCGGATGGCTGGAATGGAATTTTACAGAAGGGGAATTTTCAAACTCCCAGAACACTGGGAGAAATGTGTACAAAGAAGTGGTGATTATGTGGAAAAATAAAGAAATGTCTGTAGACTGAGGTGGCGTATTTAGTTTGTCAATAATAAAGCATGTTACTTTACAAAAAATTGTTGCTCATGACTTTCAGTACGACCATCGTATAATTTGCGTGATCATGGAACCTCATGAAAATTATGCACTGTCTTCTGTTGTTAATATATAGTATTTCCCCTTAATGCACATGTGTCTGAAACATGTATAATGTTTTCTATTATAATGTTGGATGTGAGACTGTAAAAAACTGACACTAAGTGAACAGTGCAACAGGATGCTACAATATAATATTATGGCAACTAAATTTTTCAAATATATAAAACAAACATTACACATTCTAAAGAATTCTTTTAACTTCTGAGATGTCTCAGTCTGTATAGTGCTTGGGTTGTTGGCAAAATGACTGAGGATTCAGGGTTTGATTTCAGGTAGGGGCAAGATATTTTTCTCTTCTCCATATAAACCAGACCACCTCTGGGGGCCACCCAGCCCTCTATAGAATTGGTCCTGGGGACACCATATAGTGCCAAGGTAGATCTATATCTCCACTACTCCATACATCTTCATGGTGTGCTGCTTCATTAATTAAACCCAGGGATAACTTTACCTTATCTAAAAATTTTCATAAAATCCAGTATTAACATTATGCCATCATCCCACCCTCATCCTTGTTAATTTCATAAAACAGGTAATAACAATGTGGTGGACACACAAAATTGCTCTGTGAGAGCACCTCTAGCGCCAATTAACGTATGGTCCAGATATTGTGGATGGTAATAAGGCTCTCAAAAATACATAAAAAAAACAACATGGCAGCTGCATGACTCTATACTTAGCTTCAGGTTCCATGGTGATAACCACTGGGGCTAGACATCTGAAATTAGGTATGGAGATAGGTTATATTGTAATGTGTGTGTGTGGGGGGGGGGGTATGCATGACAAAAATAACGGGTTCAAGTTTGAATGATTGGATTTATTGGTGCTTCGTTTACATGTCTCTTAATTACAATAAATACAGCATCATTACTGACTTACACAATTTACAGTTCACCACTTCACACACTAGGATTCTGATTCCACTAGTGATCTCCTAGCAAATGATCTCAACACAGAAACTAGAACATAAAATCACTATTTCTTGTTCAATGACCCTGGAACCTTGAAACTTGACTAAGAACCCTCCTGGGCTCTCTTTTTAGCTGCAAGCAGACTCATGTTCTATAGCCTCTGCACGGACAACTCAAAAAACACCGTTCTACTGTTGCACAGCAGAGACCACACAGAACATACTAGTCACATGATAGCTAAGCACTGTTGGGATGTAACGTTATTGCGCCTGTGCAGAAGTGTGTTTATCGAGCTGTTGCCTACAAGCAGGTTGCGTAACTCCATTGTTCCCTTTGTGATGGTACTCTTCTCGCCTCCTCTTCTTCAGGTCACCTTTTTAACAGTCCTTCTCACCTACCTTCTTGTTTCTACTTATTTGTGATCTTCTTTCTTGTGCTAAATTTTTATCTCAGGGTTCATTCTAAATTTCTCAGGGTTAGTTGGTTTCCAAAGAGGTGAGGCTGTTGGGTTCAGTAAAGCTGGGTTCTCTTATTTCAGAGCCTTACACGGGCCAAACTCAAAGAAGCAGAAATAACACAGACTACCAAAGCACATTCACATTCAGAGGTATTATCATTATTAAACACTTCTTAGTCACCGTTTAACACTTTACAATTGACTACTTGTTGCTACACTTTTGTAACTAAACCACTTTTCAGGTTCAAATTTATTATTATTAAAACTTGTTTCAGTCTAAGTGGTTAACACTTTACAAGTGACTACTACCAGTATATTTTCTCAATGGCTCCTTTGACAAATTTTACATCTAGTTCTTACGAGTCCCGTTGTGCGACTCCTTTGACAACTTTTACGTCCATTTCTTACGAGTCCCGGTGTCTGACTGACTTCGACAACTTTTACGCCTAGTTCTTATGAGTCCCGGTGTGTGACTTTCACGTCTGGTTCTTATGAGTCCTGGTGTGTGACAACTGATTTCACTTCCAACCATCAAGTCCTTGTTCCCTCAGCGTCTCTGCTCTGTCACACACTTAAATTTTAGTGATTGGTCAATTTAAAACTCAGGAGTATGTTAATTAGGTATTAAAGCGACCTCCATAGTCTAGAGGTAATGCTCCCACCCCATGACTCGTGGTATACGGGTTCAAATACCCGGCGGAGGTCGTCAAATTTTTAAGGGCAGAAAAATTCATGGAACAAGTCCTCCGGGAGGGACTTTAAGCTGTGGGTCCCGTGTCGTAGCTTTACGGCACGTAAAAGAACCTCATATCTCCAAAGGAGGTCACTGAGCCAAATTACGGACGTTTCCCGCCCAACAGCAGTCTCTAATACCTCTGGTAGATGGGGGAAGCATTATAGATACCTCTCAGCTAGTAGAGCCGGTCTCGCTGGCTGGGCGGGACTGATGGTAAGCACCAGTACCGGTAGGATATAGAGACTGGTAGAAATCATAGAGGGAAGCACAATGGACCAATACAGGTCTAAGTGCATGGGGAAACCCACCCTCTCCAATAACTAACTAACTAATTATGTATTCCTCCACTCCGTTTAAAGCTTACAAGGGTTTCTGGCATTCTGAGTTCCAATGAACTTGTCAGAATTTGACAAATGAGAAGCATGGCTTGGGTTATAAAAGTTTCACTCTTTTAAATTATGGCATGTATAAAATGTCAAGTATTGAATTCACAAAGGCTTCTTTAGTCAATCTTTCATGTAACTTTTTCTAAGAAACCCTGATGGGGTGTCTTCCTGTTTCTGCTGTAAGCGTGGGAAGACGCTCTTACATACAAAAATGGATCTATGTCTCACTACACTTGCTCATTTCATCTCATTCTGAACAATTAAGACTTCAAATTAATAAATTAATTACCTTTAAATAGGTTGCATAACAGCAGAATGGTTACACATTGTTGTGTGCGTGTATTACTTAGAAACGGCTATTTCTGTGGCTCAACCATTCTTGCATGGAGCAAATATTCCACAATGTACACACACAAATTCTGTACAAACTACAAGTAATTTACTAATTTTCGTCCTTCACAGTGATTCACTGTTGACACTGATTCAGCGCTTGGGTTTTTACACACTGTGGATGTGGTCAGTGTTGATGACATCTTGGAAATACATGCTGCCTCCATCCTCAAAATCATAGTGAGTACAACGGGTGAGAACCAACAGTGGTGTCAACAGTGTGATAATACTGTAACATGTCTGGAGTAGATACTTCCATGGTAACGCGATAACATTGAGCCGTTGCGTAGACAATTCCGAAACAACGAACGCATTCGCCCGGAAATGAACAACAGAAGGCCGTTGAATAACAATAGATGGGACGAAACACGTTACCAGTGTATAAAGAGCGTTCCCAAAGCAATGGATTGCCAAACACGTGAGATCGAACCTTGGCGAATGGTGTCTCGTATCCGATCCGCATAACACTTACATAAGCCGAGAACAACAGAGTAACTAGCCTTCATGCAACACAGTTGGAACCTAGTTGAGACGTCGCAGAAGTCATGTGATACCACAAGTGATAATAATTGTATGGTGTATAAGTGTGTGTGTCCAATAAAGAGTCGCTAAATCCGAGACCCACGTGAAATTATTTGTCGCGTGACACACCCAACACGTGATAATACGTTTGAGACTAGGCACTGTTGAAAACGGTGTTTTTTACTCTGTCTGTGCAAAGGGGTTGTAAGGACAACTGAAGCAAGAATAGTTCAGTTGGAAAGGAGCTGCTGTTCAGAGAGAACTTGAAGCCAGAACCAGAGGAATAGCTATTGTTAGAGGCCATTACCAGGAAAAGGCGAGTGGAGACTGCAACTGAGAACACTAGTCTGTGTGTTCTAATAATTTGTGAAATGTGGATATCTGTGATGGTGCTATACTCGTAACTGGGTGTAGTTATAATTTGTGTGTGAAAGTGGTCAAAAATCCAATATTCAATCCAAAACCACATCAATAGTCACTCTAAATCATGACAGTATTCTTCATAGTCAATGCTGTGAGACCTCAAATCTCAAACATAAATTGCTTCCAAGGGCAGCTTGCAGCATATATCCATATCCTAACACTGCAGTAATAAAAGAATTGTCCATGAAAGCCCTCCAACACCCATCTTATTTGTCGCCCCCCACACAAAGCAACCACCATGTCTTTGAAGTCTTAAGAGTGATAATCAATGGAAAACACTTTCATACTGATGATGAAGCGCACAGTGTATTAAAAACTGTAAAGTAACACAAATATTTATGGGCAAAACTATTTTCATTTTAATTATTCATGTAGGTATAAAATGAACTTGGATGGACACAAGGTTTGCTCAAACAGGCACTGTTGGACATCATGCAATATAGGATTAATAAATGTCCCTGACCTGACTAGAATCACTGACTGATCAAAGAATGGAATGATCATGTACCTTCTGGTGAAATACTTAGTAATTTCTGTGTAGAACAGCAACATGATTATGCTGCCAGCATAAAATACAACAAAGTACTGTCATTTTCCCCACCATTTCCTTATGTCTTTGCACAAAATGTTCCACACAGATGTTACAAAAAGTAGGAGTATGAAATCATACCATCATTCATAACAGACTTTGAAATAAGTGAAGGGGGAAAATACTGACTCTGACAAAATGGGCCATAAAGCAAATGAATATGAAATTTAAGGACAGGACTGAATATCTCCACTGACTCTAAGAAAGATACAGAACAAGACACAGGACAATCAGTAATGAAAAGGACAACTCTCTAAAATCTGGGATGGAACAGTGGAAATATGAACTACACAAAATGCTAAAAGGGAATTCAGCAAATTATAAATATAACTCAAATGAAACATTGCTGTTCTACAAATACCCAGAAGAACATTTGTTTTCAAGGATGAAAGATGTACTGATAGGAAGCGTTTCAAAGATAGAATTACCGTATCACTGTTCAAAAATTCCATAGGAACTTACAACATGAAGCCCCATATAATCATGAAGTCCAAGAGTCCTTGATGCTGTAAAAACATGCAGTACCTACCATGCACCTTTCAATATACTCAAATTCCACAACAATAAATATAATTTGTTCTCCTGCACTATGTTGTACTGATGTTTATTTCACTGCAGTTTGTAACAATATGCTTTTCACACTTCCTGTGATATTATACATTATTCTGTGTCTACTGAATGATTCACATAACAGAAGCATTTACTTAGCTTCATCAGTTATTAGAAATTCAATATAAAATGGCGAACATATAAAGCAACAATATAAATTCAAATTAAAAAAAATTTAAATCAACCAAATTTTTGGTGGTGGCGGCATTTGTCCTGTACAAGAGCTAAGGGGTGAACCAAAATGACTCTTCCCACCTGCACTTCTTCCACAGACAGGATGACAGTGACGAACATTAATTTCCTTTATCTGGTTCATTCAAAAACCCAGCTCAAAAACAAAGGTTCTATCTTCTGAGATATAACACTGTGTAGTCTGGTGAAAGCCAACTGACATTTCAGAGAAACACACTGCTTCCACCTTCAGAACTGAAGAGAAGGCCAAGCAAGAAAAGCAGGCAGCATGGTGGTTTCTTACTTGGCTTACCCTTTTAACATGAACATGGAAGTGATTTGTTTCTCTGAAATTCCAGATGACTTTCACAATACTACACAGCATTTGCAAAGCCTGTCAGCGCATTTCTGAAGAGGATGGCTTGGAGGCATCAAATATCAGGGATAAAATTACCATAAAAATATATGAAGGTAAAGTATGAACCTTTGCACTGATGGGATAAATATGTAACATCAATTTTGTTAAAACATTATCACACACATCACAACTAAGAAACTAACTCATAGCTATTCAAGTGGCACAAAAAAAATCCTATTTTAAAGAACCTAAAAGCTCATTATCATGTTCACAAGATATCTATCACTGGACTCTGTCTAGGGCAGAACCCACTCAATCCAGCACATCACATACACATAAAACGATCTGTTCCGTTTATATAACACGTTTATGAAGTTCCACAGTTTGCTGATGACCTGTCAGTGAAAAGCCTACTAGTGGTGTTGCTGCCTTTGGGCCTCTACACAGATGTTCTTTTGTAAGTTGCTGGTACAGATATGTACCAAGAGTAAGAGACTTCCTTCTTTTATGACCATGCAACTGGTAACAGTTGGTCATATCTCTTGATAAAACATTTGATGTCTCACATTAAATTTTTGATGAAATGAATGTGATACTGAATTTAGTGCACTCTGGTGACTAAGTTATTTGTTATCAGCACATAAAAAAAAAAAAAAACTTTACTTTGCACCAAACTTAAAACTGAAATTTTAACTGCACCCATCTGAAAATTGTACTGCTTGCACAAAGACTTTCTTTTAATAATTTCCACAGTCAATAAAATGTGATACTTCTCATAAAAAGAAACATGTACAGGGACACATGAAAAGGACATCAATATTATGATAAACAAACCTGTGATAAGATGATCAAAAGAGAAATCTAATAACCATGAAAGATGTGTCTTCAAGAGTATGCAGTTTAAATGGAAACACTGGAACAACTCCACAAAACTACATGGCACTACATTCCAAAAGACTATAATCTTAATTTGTTAATATTTACCATACCAAATCTAACAATAAAGCAAAAATGATATGATACAAAAATAATCCATGAATTTGATTATTACCACATAATACAAACTGTTATATGGTGAAGAAAACCACTGTAGTCAAGATAAACTCTCTTACTGGGCATTAATCTTGGCATTTTCAAGCACAGAAATGCCAGGTGGCTGGAAAATTTTACTATCAAGAGTACTGGGTGATTAATGTTATGCATATAAGTGCAATATGAAGTTATTTATCTCTTATTATGTTGTAATGATTGATATGACAAGATCAGCATACAAATTTATTCTTTCATTACTCACAAAGTTGCAATCAGCTGAGTGAGAAAAAGATCAATATTTAACATTTGTCACATCTGATACATTACAGACCATACTATACAGAACTATAACCACAAATCTGTTACTGTCTTCAGACAACATGCCTTTCTGCTTAAATGAAAACCAATTTATGGAATGCAAAATGTGCAATCTACGATTCCGGAGAACAATTTTCTTTAAAGTTTTGTTTTTGCAGTATTCTATTTAATAGCACAAAAGATGTCAAGTAAAACAAATCTTAAGTGTTAAATGAAACAGCAATTAATTCATATTTTCTTTCATCCTTCTCGAACAATTCAAACAATTTATATCTCTCAATGAAAAAGAGACATGGCCTGCACTTCTGACTGACGGAACATTTAGCTGTGGTAGAACAATGGCAAGACTCCCAGTACTATCTGTATGCAGTAGATCTGTTGAACTCTCTTATTTGGGCCCCAACATATCCTGAGGTTTCACAAATTTCCCAAAATCTGCTTCTGAGACAAGTCCAAGCTTCAATGCTGCTTCTTTCAGTGTAGTACCTTCCTTGTGTGCAGTCTTTGCAATTGTGGCAGCCTGTAACAATGGAAAGTTATTATTCTCTATCTAGCCTTCAGCATGTATGTTGGGCAACATGCCAGGAATTTGGGATCATCTTCAGGTGGCAATGAAACGGTGAGGTGAGGCCTGTATGCAGGAAGGAGGTGGACATATGGAACATTTACTGTTAGGTAATGTGAAGAGCTGAGTGTCACAAACAGACTTTAAAACTTTGAAACTATGCATTTCCAGACCTATACTGATATAAACTATTTATATTATCTACATATGAGGAATTCATTCGTGAAACAAGATGTATAACATATTTCGCATAAATCAGAAAACTTAACTTGCCTTATCATAACCAATGTGTGGATTCAAGGCTGTAACAAGCATCAGCGATTCATTCAGCAGTTTTAAAATTCTTTCTTCATTAGCTCTGATGCCTGATACACAGTTATCTGTAAATGCCTTACAACTGTCACCTATAAGCCGTATAGAACGCAAAACATTTGAGACGATTTGTGGCTTGAAGACGTTGAGTTCAAAGTGACCACTGCTGCCACCAACAGTAACAGCAACATGGTTACCCATAACCTGAGCTGCCACCATTGTGATGGCCTCACACTGAGTTGGATTCACCTTGCCTGGAAAATTTACAACAAACAAAATATGATAACAGAAAGGGGAAGATGTTTTCAAACTGCAAATGTATGTATAAAAAAAGCACAACTAGGGACAAAAACTGTAATACAATGGGGTACCAAAAAAAAACCGAACTAATTTTGTTGTGGGCAGAACTTTTGTGGTATCGCGTTTTGCCGCTATGAGCGCATACAGCTAACATTCCTGAGTCGATAAGCCGACTACCGTTGCTTCAGAAGGTAAAGACTAGTTTCGGCAGAGTTTATAGTGACAACTGTTTTGTGTGATCGTCATTTTTGCAATGGCTGATTTTCGTGAACAGCGTGCAGCGGTGAAATTCTGCTTTTTGCTCGGGAAAAGTGGAACAGAAACTCCTGAAATGTTAAAAACGGCGTACAAGGACGATGCTATGGGGAAAATTCAAGTGTTTGAGTGGTTTTCCCATTCCAAAAATGGTGAAATGTCAATTGATGACAAACCTCGTTCTGGTCGTCCTTCCACGGCCCGAACACATGAAAATGTCGAAAAAATTCGTGAAATCATCCAGGAAGATCGACGACGGACCATTGAAGAAATCATGGAGCTGTCGGGAGTGACGTGGAGCTCAGTTCAGCGAATTTTGACAGAAGATTTGGGAATAAAAAGGGTGACTGCGAAATTAGTGCCACGACTGCTGACTGCTGAACAAAAACAAGGTCATGTGGAAGCATGCTGTGCTTTGAAAGAAGAGTCCCGAAATGATCAAAACTTTTTTTTGTTTCCTCAAATGAAAAGAGACATGAAAGGAAAGCGTTTTGCTGATGTTGCTGAGGTGAAGGAAAAAACGACGGAGGCGCTGTCAAGCATCTCAAAAGATGAATTTAGACAATGTTTTGAAAAATGGAATAAAAGACTAGACAAGTGTATTAGTGTAAGTGGAGAGTACTTTGAAGGGGATTGAAGGTTTGTGCTTAAAATTTGAATAAATAAGTTTAAAAAAAATAAGTTCGGTTTCTTTTGGGTACCCCCTCGTAAATGCTGGCCTAAAATTTAGTTATAATCATATTAAGGTTGTGAAGTTGATTGAGGCACTATGCTACAAGCCAGAAAGTTGCACGTTTGATTCCCGATGGGGTCACTGGATATTTTCAATTTACCTGATCCTTCCAGTAGCACTACGGACCTGGAGTCAACTCAGTCTCTAACAGAAATGAGTACCAGGAATCTTCCTGGGGGTAAAGGGCGGCCAGTGTTTACGGCTGACAACCTCACAACCATCTATGAGCCGACTGTTGAAAAAATGTGGGAAGCCTCAACATCTCACAACCCTATTGGCCTCTGCAACTTGTTAGAGAGATAGCTTTACCTTTTTTTTTTTTTTTACCATATTAAGGTCACTCAGAAGCTCTTCAAGACTTGAGTCAAATATGGATTGAATGAAGTTGTCCCTGCGCTTAACTAATGAAGCACTATGCTATGAAGACATACTGGGGAGTGAAAGTATAGATCCATGTATTCTTGAACTTGGTACCAGTTGGAGGTGAGGGGTCAGCTTCACATCCCAGCTGCTTTACCCCCAAGGAAAAAGCCCCTGTTACCCATTTGATAGGATGGACATGCCCATGGAGAGGAGAAAAGTTTTGCCCCTCTCAGGGCTCCTTCAGGTAACTCTAAAATTGCTGATGAAACTGCTGTGCTTCTGTCTGTTAAGTTCCTAATAAGAGGAACTACCCACACATGGGCACACATACAAGGGAATACCAAAGAAACTGAACTTACGGACAGAAGCATAACAGTTTCATCAGTAATTTTACAGAAACCTGAAGATGACCAATGTATGCTGCATACACCAGTGATGTAGAAGATATTTTAAAATTTAAAAGTTTTAAAGGTTTTAAAAAGCAAGTTGGATGTGAGACAGCTAATAACTAACAGGAATAAAGAATGAATGTGCAACAGGATGATACAATATTACGGCAGAAACATGCATGCTTGAAGTAGGCACACATTTTCCAGTAACTGGAAAATATGTAGTTGAAGATATCTTTATTCATTCATTCATTCATTCTTGTTATAGATTACACTGATGCATACCTTCGGTTTCATTAGAAATAAAACAGAAAATGTACAAAGTATTATAAAAGGTTAATTAATTCCATCCAGTGTGATTGATGCAGATTTTTCCTTTTTAATCTTTCATCCTTTACATGTTTTGGTCTTATAGACCATCTTCAGAAAGATATCAATACAATTAGAAACCACTATTGTAACATGTTTAGTGAATGCTAAATACATACATAATACAATTGTTACAAAATCTAATGTCTTAACAACTACAGCAGCTTGTACTAATACATTAAAATATTTATAAATTACAATTAGTATTGTGACATGTTGACCCCTACCTCCCCAGCTGCACGTAGCGATCGCGTAATAGGCGAGTAATCACCCCGCAACTCCCCCCGCGGTGACGTCACGAGCGGAGCCGAAGTGAGCCGAGCGGAGCTGACGTTAGCCGAGTCCCCGCAACCTTGAAGCTATGCAAAGCGAGTCAACAGCGATGACGTCACCAAGGGCAGCACGGGTAAACAGGATTGCGAGAGACGACGGTGGTAACAGCGGTTACTACCGCTAGCATTACTAGCAACACAGCGCCAGGCAACAAGGGTGCTTATTACGTGGCCGTTTTCTGTATTGTCCGATCGAGGCTACATGAGGCGCAGCAAAGGCTATTCACAGTTAGTCCTGGAGCTACCTACAAGTCAGTCCTCGAGCTACCTCCGAGTTAGTTCCGAGTTAGCCAGCAACCAGTCAGTTGTATTCTGGCATATGGAGTGTACTATTTGTGATACTGCAGATAGCAGTAATCGTAAATCTGTAATTTGGGTGATTGTAAGTGCGAATGTGAAATAAAATTCGCTACATCAAATACCTCGTGAAGTTATTTGTCGCGTTATACGCCCAATACACGACAACTGGTGTCAGAAGTGGGATTTCAACTTACACACGTGACCGACGAGATGCGATCTCAAGACACGTGACAATTTGGTGTCAGAATTTTTATGAACTTAAAACACGCCTGACACATAAGTGGATTATTGTGCATCGAGTATTTGACTGCTACAAAATGGAGAAGCAAGGTCTTCAACTAATAATCGAAATGCTGAAAGAGATAAAGGCCGATAGGAAGGTTGACAAAGAAGAAATGGAGGCAAATAGGAAGAAAGACAAAGAAGATTTCCTGGCCAAATTAGACGCCGATAGGAAGGTTGACAAAGAGGAAATGCTGGCAAGGATGGATGCCATCATGAAAACCCATCAAGGAGACAAAAGGGCAAATACCAACCGCAAGGAGATGGTGTACGTGTTTAAACCTGAAGATGTATTGATGCCGATCACCCAAAAGGAGACGGTGGCCTGCTTAGTGGACGCGAAACCTGCAGCGGCACAACAAGAGGTCCCAATAGTAATACCTGTCGGAGTGATGATGGCCTGCCAAGAAAGGGAGGCACGCCCAGAAGAAGAAGAGCCGACTTCAGCGAACAGGAAACCTGAGGCGGCAGAACTACGAGAGGTACCCGTACAAGACGCCGAAGTAATGCCGGTCGGAGAACCGAAGAATAAAAGGCGCAGGGACCGTCATCGACGAAATATGAAGAATTCGACACGGGAAAGTTGTGGACCCCAGGATAAATTGGCCGTCATCAGCAGGAAGGTGTCCCACTCTGCAAGAGTGGCATGGCGCAAGAGGAACATCTTCAGGAAATCTTGGATCCGAGGAGATCATGCGTCCCGGATAAAGTTGGCTGCCATCTGCAGGAAGATATCCCGTCGCGCGACAGTGGCACGACGTTGGAGAAATTACTTCAAGAAGGAAACTCCCCAGGGAACCTTCGGAGGCCGGAGAAAGGACTTGGCGCCACGGTCTCGTACCAGCCAGCGGCTGGAAGTCCAGAAGGAGCAATGACGTCAGCGAGTGCAAACACCGCATCAAGAGCTGCTACGTCGATGTAAGAAATTTCCGACGAAAGACCTGATGAAGGATTGGACCTTGTGGAGGGGACGACACCATCCCAAACGGAAAAAAAGCCTTC